ATGTCAAGGTGAAGTTAAGCAAAACAACACACAAAGGATGTCAATGTGAAGTAAAAACAAAACAACACACACAAAACAACACACAAAGGATGTCAATGTGAGGTTAAAACAACACAACACATAAAGAATGTCAATGTGAAGTAAAAACAATGTGAAGTTAAAACAAAACAATACACATAGGATGTCAATGTGAAGTTAAAACAAAACAAAACAACACACAAATAATGTCAATTAGAAGTTAAATCAAGGATGTCAATGTGAAGTTAAAACAAAACAAAACAACACACAAATAATGTCAATTAGAAGTTAAATCAAGGATGTCAATGTGAAGTTAAAACAAAACAAAACAACACACAAATAATGTCAATTAGAAGTTAAATCAAGGATGTCAATGTGAAGTTAAAACAAAACAACACACAAAGGATGTCAATGTAAAGTTAAAACAAAACAACACATAAAGGATGTCAAATAGAAGTTAAAACAAAACAACACACAATGGTTGTCAAGGTGAAGTTAAAACAAAACAACACATAACGGATGTCAAGGTGAAATTAAAACAAAACAACACATAAAGGATGTCAAAGTGAAGTTAAAACAAAACAACACATAGCGGATGTCAAGGTGAAATTAAAACAAAACAACACATAAAGGATGTCAAGGTGAAGTTAAGCAAAACAACACATAAAGATGCCAATATGAAGTTAAAACAAAACAACACATTTAGAATGCCAAGGTGAAATTAAAACAAAACAACACACAAAGTATGTCAATATAAAGTTAAAACAAAACAACACACAAAGGATGTCAATGTGAGGTTAAAACAACACAACACACAAAGGATGTCAATGTGAAGTTAAAACAAAACAACACACAAAGGATGTCAATGTGAAGTTAAAACAATACAACACATAAAGAATGTCAATATGAAGTAAAAACAAAACAACACACAAAGGATGTCAATGTGAGGTTAAAACAATACAACACAACACACAAAGGATGGCAATGTGAAGTTAAAACAAAACAAAACATAAAGATGCCAATATGAAGTTAAAACAAAACAAAACATAAAGATGCCAATATGAAGTTAAAACAAAACAATACACATAGGATGTCAATGTAAAGTTAAAACAAAACAACACACAAAGGATGTCAATGTGAAGTTAAAACAAAACAATACACAAATAATGTCAAATAGAAGTTAAAACAAACAAAACAAAAACACACAAAGGATGTCAATGTGAAGTTAAAACAAATCAACACACAAAGGATGTCAACGTGAAGTTAAGCAAAACAACACACAAAGGATGTCAATGTGAAGTTAAGCAAAACAACACATAAATGATGTCAAATAGAAGTTAAAAAAACAAAAAACAAAACCACAAAGGATGTCAAAAAGGGTTAAAACAAAACAACACACAAAGGATGTCAATGTGAAGTTAAAACAAAACAACACACAAAGGATGTTAGAGTGAAGTAAAAACAATACAACACATAAAGAATGTCAATGTGAAGTAAAAACAAAACAACACACAAAGGATGTCAATATGAAGTTAAAAAAACAAAAAACAAAACCACAAAGGATGTCAAAAAGGGTTAAAACAAAACAACACACAAAGGATGTCAATGTGAATAAAAAACAAAACAACACACAAAGGATGTCAATGTGAGGTTAAAACAACACAACACATAAAGAATGTCAATGTGAAGTAAAAACAAAACAACACACACAGGATGTCAATGTGAGGTTAAATCAAAAACAACACATAAAGGATGTCAATGTGAAGTTAAAACAAAACAACACACAAAGGATGTCAATGTGAAGTTTAAACAAAACAAAACAACACACAAATAATGTCAATTAGAAGTTAAATCAAACAACACATAAAGGATGTCAATGTGAAGTTAAAACAAAACAACACACAAAGGATGTCAATGTGAAGTTAAACAAAAAAACACACAAAGGATGTCAATATGAAGTTAAACAAAACAAAACAACACACAAAGGATGTCAATGTGAAGTTAAAACAAAACAACACATAAAGGATGTCAATGTGAAGTAAAACAAAACAACACACAAAGGATGTCAATGTGAAGTTAAAACAAAACAACACATAAAGGATGTTAAAGTGAAGTTAAAACAAAACAACACACAAAGGATGTCAATGTAAAGTTAAAACAATACAATACATAAAGGATGTCTACGTGAAGTAAAAATAAAACAACACATAAAGGATGTTAAAGTGAAGTTAAAACAAAACAACACGCAAAGGATGTCAATGTAAAGTTAAAACAATACAATACATAAAGGATGTCAATGTGAAGTTAAACAAAACAACACACAACGGATGTGAATGTGAAGTTAAACAAAACAACACACAACGGATGTGAATGTGAAGTTAAACAAAACAACACACAAAGGAAGTTAAATCAAACAACACACAAAGGATGTCAATGTAAAGTTAAAACAATGCAATACATAAAGGATGTCAATGTGAAGTAAAACAAAACAACACACAAAGGATGCACAAAGGATGTCAATGTGAAGTAAAAACAAAACAACACACAAAGGATGTCAATGTGAAGTAAAAACAAAACAACACACAAAGGATGTCAATGTGAAGTTAAAACAAAACAACACATGAAGGATGTTAAAGTGAAGTTAAAACAAAACAACACACAAAAGATGTCAATGTAAAGTTAAAACAAAACAATACATAAAGGATGTCAATGTGTGGTTAAAACAATACAACACACAAGGGATGTCAAAGTGAATTAAAAACAAAACAACACACAAAGGATGTCAATGTGAGGTTAAATCAAACAACACATAAAGGATGTCAATGTGAAGTTAAAACAAAACAAAACATAAAGGATGTCAATGTGAAGTTAAAACAAAACAAAACAACACACAAATAATGTCAATTAGAAGTTAAATCAAACAACACACAAACGATGTCAATGTGAAGTTTAAACAATACAACACACAATGGATGTCAAAATGAAGTTAAACAAAACAACACACAACGGATGTGAATGTGAAGTTAAACAAAACAACACACAAAGGATGTCAATGTGAAGTTAAACAAAACAACACACAAAGGATGTTAATGTGAAGTTAAAACAAAACAACACACAAATAATGTCAATTAGAAGTTAAATCAAACAACACACAAACGATGTCAATGAGAAGTTTAAACATTACAAAACACAAAGGATGTCAAATAGGGTTAAAACAAAACAACACACAAAGGATGTCTGTGTGAAGTAAAAACAAAACTACACATAAAGGATGTCAATGTGAAGTAAAAACAAAACAACACACAAAGGATGTCAAAGTGAAGTTAAAACAAAACAAAACATAAAGGACGTCAAATAGAAGTTAAAACAAAACAAAACATAAAGGATGTCAATGTGAAGTTAAAACAAAACAAAACATAAAGGATGTCAATGTGAAGTTTAAACAAAACAACACATAAAGATGCCAATATGAAGTTAAAACAAAACAAAACATAAAGGATGTCAATATGAAGTTAAAACAAAACAAAACATAAAGATGCCAATATGAAGTTAAAACAAAACAACACACAAAGGATGTCAATGTGAAGTTTAAACAAAACAACACATAAAGATGCCAATATGAAGTTAAAACAAAACAAAACAACACACAAATAATGTCAATTAGAAGTTAAATCAAACAACACATAAAGGATGTCAATGTGAAATAAAAACAAAACAACACAGAAAGGATGTCAATGTGAGGTTAAAACAACACAACACACAAATAATGTCAATTAGAAGTTAAATCAAACTATACATAAAGGATGTCAATGTGAGGTTAAAACAAAACAACACACAAAGGATGTCAAGGTAAAAACAAACCACACGAATTCGGTACAAGATGGGGTCAAAACAAAGACAAAAAAAGACAAAAAAAAATTCAAGGTGAAATTGAAACGGAACAATTCATCGACGGCAACAAACCTTTGACCAATGAAATATCGACATCGTTAACATGCGTTTAATTTGACAGTGACACTTCTACTAAATAGAAATTTAGGAAACGAAAGAATACCAAATTAAATGTTGTACATTTTGTATTGATGCAGTAGCATGACGACACATGTTATAACGACAATGTTATATTGTACAGTATTGGGAATCGAGCAAGCAGCAACCACAAAACCAGACTCGTCCAGGTACGGCGGCTGACATAGCCAAGGTACGACTAGTGACAGAATGTTTGTTACATTGTTACCTGTAGAACACCTGTTTATTACCTGGACATCACCTGCATAACAGGTACCGCGGCTGACATTGTGACAGAATGTTTGTTCCAAAATTTAATTAACTGTAGAACACCTGTTTATAACCTGGACATCACCTGTATAACAGGTACGGCGGATGCCATTGTGACAGAATGTTTATTAACTGTAGAACACCTGTTTATTACCTTGACATCACCTGTAGAACAGGTACGGTATAATATTACCTGGTGTAATATCTGTGTAGGATATGTATAAATAACACTAGTTGCTGTTAATACTTGTCTGCGACACATGCCAAGGTCGTGAATCCGTCACTCCCTAAGCTCTATAGAACCTTCATGGTAACAACGCCGACTTTGTGGACACTCCTGGCAATTAAAATAAACGGCTCGATATCTAAGGCTGTGACTTAAACAGAAGGCCTAGTTCGATTTGCTGTCTATGTATTTTGTCAGTGATAGTACGAAAACAGAAAAACAGTCAGGCGACATTATTGACAAGTATTTCTATTTTTGTCTAAATGTACAATTAAATAGGACGCGAGAATCCAGATAAGCGGGTCCATTTTCAGCGTTAATGAGAAATTAATATCCCGCACTCTTCTGTGATCAATTAAACACATACACCATTAGCGAAATAAATGTAGGTGCCATTCAATAGACTACGAGGAAATTGATCGCATCTACTTTGTCAATACAAGAATTTCAATACTAAACAAAGAAAAGCAATTCTTACCTTGTCATACACGAACTTTCATCCCCATTTCCTTATTTCCATATGGATTTTCTCCTTTGGGTATATCATAATTCCCGTGTGGTATAATTTTTCCTTTTTTTCAGATATAGACATGTAACTGTATTATAACAAGAAGAAAACTTTGGAAGTCCTCTTCCCGAAGTACTCACACCGTGGACTATTTCTAACACTGTGAGGCTAGCATCCCTTTCCGAGTTAAGACTCGAATCACATCAGTATTAAGCCAATTTGTTCCCAACAAGATTTACTTGTAATGTTTACTGATCATACTACGTATCTCAATCACGGAGTTCCGGGAGCCTGGCGCGCCTCTCCGGTCCTGTCGCCTGGCTGTAGCACTCTTAGTTTTCTCCGACACAGCGCGAGCAGCTAAGACTAGTATGGAGGCCCAACACTCACGGACGCCGACACGTGGAATGCTGCCGGGGCCACTTGTTCACAGTGGACTATCGCAGCGTACGGAAAGGAGGGATGGGTTTGTCCGGTAATGAGCGTGTGGCTGGGCCGTACTGTCCAACTGACAGCTGCCTGTATCCAGAGCGTGTCATAGCAGGTACCCGACTTACAGCAGGGGCGATCAATACCACCAGGTACGGGCCTTCTTATAATTGTTTACGTCAAAATACCAATTTCAGGCCTTATTTGGCTTCCGTCATTCAAGTCGTGTTGAAGATGCTTCTCCGGAAGCGGCATCCATTGACATCTGAAACATCACAGGAAAGAGGGAGACAAAAATATAACAAGAAGCCAAGTAGGCGATCTCTATTTGATATTTAATACTTTTGAGACTTTTCTGAAATCATCACAACGCTTTATATAACAAAAAACAGAGGGCTTAAAAAAACAGAGGGCTAAAAAAACAGAGGGCTAAAAAAGTGTAAAGTATGCCGAGTATTTACAGCCCAACATGACACGAAAAGCTATGAAAACAGGAATCTACGGCCCAAAATGACATCAGGAGCAGTGAAAACAGTCAATTCAAAAAGAGACACCAACAACAAAAAATGTCAAAAGCCGTGAAAACAGTTACAAGGAGTCGTTTAGTTTAAACAGTATTTTTATTCAATATATGGCAGTGACAAAATAATACAAAATCAACAAAGAGGATTCGAAAACAAGTACAAGTACTTATATTAATTCGTCTCCTTATTAATAAACCCGGCAGTAGGACGGCACTGTTACATATATTTTGATAGTATAACAGACAAAGAGAAGAAGAAGAAATCAGGGGGGAGGTTGGAAGGGGTGCATCAGGAAAAGAAAGAAAGTGGTTATGAAGAGAATAACGAGAGGAACTGCATTACTTAATTGAATCTGGTTGGAATGTGATTCATGAAAAGGTAACCCTAATGAGCTCTATATAAGGATGTATTAAATACATTGGACATCTCTAAATTGCCTTACGTTGATTCCAATCAAAAAGTATACTGATATCCTGCAAAATGCAAGAGTGCTGTAGTCTATATTAATTCCAGTATCAACAAAACTCATTGAGTCTAAATATCATACTGGCGTGTCACAAGTTTTGTCGAACAACAAGTCAATGTACATTGTTTAAACAAACGCAATAGTTACATAAAAAAAAAAAAAAAAAAGAAAAAACAAGTATTGCACTAAAATCGTTTCGACTTACAGATACATTTTTGGACAGAGTCAAACATATTTAAGTTATATTGATCTGGCATATCAGGATTTCCATACAGCAGCAGATTTAAATTATTCCCACGAGGAAGATTTCTAAAACATTGTAATCTTAATTGTTCGAAGTTAGGACAAAAGAGGAGAAAGTGTTCAGTAGTTTCAGCAGAACGGTTACAAGAACACATGGGACTTTCAACTAAGTCACGTACAAATAAGTGATTTTTAAGGGAACTACAGTTCATCCTCAGTCGAGCGTGGTGAATTTGGCCAAATCTACTTTTGCAGTAGTAGTAATAGGATGGAACACGATTATTGTGATGATAGTCTACATTCACGGACTTCTTAGGGTTAGTGAGTGATGGGTTATCCTTAACGTCATCCGGAAGAGCATTCCATAAGTCAACAGAGGAAGGTAGAAAAGAATCTTTATAGAGTTTAGTACGACATCTTATTTGACAGAATTTATTCGCGTTTCTAGTATCGTGAGAATGAATGTCAGAATGAGGAGCGGGGAGGATGTTAGTTAAATAGGAGGGACACTGACCATAAACAATCTTATGAAGAGACACCAACAACAAAAAATGTCAAAAGCCGTGAAAACAGTTACAAGGAGTCGTTTAAAATGTCATTTACAAGGAAACGAACACCTTACAACAAAAATGAGGTCAAAAACCGTTAAAACAGTCAATTACAAGGAAACACAAAATCTACAAAAATCTTGTCAAGAGCTGTCTGAACAGTCAATTACAAGAAACAGCAGCAATTCTGTTGAGAGAAAAGTTTAGCTGACCAAAAAAATTAAACACTATTTGTCGGATAAACATATTTCAAAATAATTGAAAACTATATTAGCCAAAAAACTACATGGAATATTTATAAGGAGTACTCCTCCTTAGCCTTGGCCCAAAATAAGGATCGTCGAACGTCCTCAGTGTCTACTGTTATTGTAAATGTGTATATATATATATCAGGTGTTTCAATGTTTACATTATATGTTTATATACAATTTACACATGTATCTCCATATCGGGGGAAATACAGATTTTATTTATACACTCTGACACACGTTAAGTGTGTAACAAGAGGTCATCATTACATAATATCATTATGATCACCATATTACAAAATTGCATACGCGTACTAGTATCTTATACAAATACATACATATAATTGATAGATAGTATACTATCGAATCCATTGGTTTGCACTGAATACATGTTCACCGATCTGCAGAAAATCGTTCGTAGAATTTGCAGACTATTACATATACATGTAGTCAACGTCATTAAGGACAATATGGATTAACTGTGTGTACACGGTAGTTTTATAATGAAAGTATCCATAGTACATAATATCATAAATTAAAATACCCAAAGTTAAATATAATTACACAAAAATACGGTTCCATAGTTTATTATATATTTAAAAAGCTACCTTTTTCTGCCATATTTTTTTTATACAGGTAAAATCTGGCGTTGAACAATAGTATCCTATTAACAGACTCTATACATGTACTTGTGTCAATCACGATAACAAACACATCTCCACGACCTAATCTCGCATATGTAATAAGTATTATATAATTAACAGTCATGGTTCATTGTGCTTTAGACTATTAAATAAGATATTTTCAGACAATACTAATAGATACGAATGATAAAAAGCATGCGTTCCATTCACTCAAGTACAGATAGGAAATAACCTCAATGATTTCTTTAACATCTATAAATATAAATCGACTTTTTATATTTTCTTTAAGTAAAACATTTCTATGAAATCATATGTCTCATACGAAGATACCTAACCAACATACGTGATTTACGTTTCGAGTGACTTTTCTCCGGGTATCTCTTATCGCCTATAGATATACACATAAGTTGGTTGATATAAGGTACAAGAAACGATAAAGAAATACTTGGTTTATTATTTCTTAAATTTCTATATGTCCAAGAGGTTAATAAGGACAAATAAACCATAGTGTTATTCACTCAAAGCAGAAAACGACTTCAGCGTTCTATGATTTTAATTTCGTATACATTTATTTCACTTTGCAAACTTTATTTATTTTACAACAATTATGAAACAAGCTATTCCAACTTATATTAATCACTCATGATGACCCGGATGTTAGCTCAAGGGTCTTAATGTGAGAAGGCAACCCGAGTACCCGGAGAAAACCCCACGTGACCGGGCAGGTGACCCCATACCTTTTCACGTCCGATCGGAGAATCGAAGCCAGGTGAAGAATAAAGTACGAACCGTATACCGTACAGCGTGGAATCCGGTAAAATGCACAATGCAGTGCGGAACACGGTATGAAAACACAGTACAGAGCGGAATACGGCGTGGAATACAGTCAATTCGCGTCAACGCATACTAGTTTGGAATACCGTATTCCGCCCTGTACGGCGTTCATAACGCATATTATTTGTTTACAATGTATTCCGTACTGTTATATGATGTGATAACGCGATTTATGTGTTCATAAATCAGAACAATACATATTTATTCCGTCCCATTTCCAAGTGTATGTGGTATACAAAATATCAACAATATCACGAAGAAGTCGTAGGCTACAGTTTATCTTATTTAAGGCTGTTTAAAGTTCTGTCAAAATGTTCAATGTTTAATGACATCGTCGAAGATATTAATGGTATTATAAAGTTGTTTGCTGACGACACGTCTCTATACGTTATAGTGGATTTGCCGGATCTGAGCGCTAATCTCTTGAATGATAATCTAAACAAAATTCATGAATGGTCAAAAACATGGCTTGTCGATTTCAATCCTAGTAAGACAGTGTCAATGACTGTAAGTAGAAAAAATGACAAAACACTTCATCCCCCTTTGTCTATGAACAACAACCCACTAACAGTGGTAACATGCCACAAACACCTTGGTGTTTTTATTTCGTCTAATGGAGGGTGGACTGATCATGTTCAGTATATAGTTAACAAAGCTTAAAAAATAGGCCTTTTAAGAAAACTGAAATTTACTATTGACAGAAAAACGCTTCAAACTATTTATTTTACTTTTATTCGACCTTTGTTAGAATAAGGTGACGTGATATGGGACAATATAACGATAGGCCAAAGTCAACTGTTAGAAAATATTCAACTCGAAGCAGCCAGGATTGTAACTGGAGCTACTAAATTAACAAGTCATGAGAGATTGTATTTAGAAACTAGTTGGGACCCTCTTATTGAAAGAAGACGAAAACATAAAATAACACAACTTCATAAGATTGTTCATGGTCAGTGTCCCTCCTATTTAACTAACATACTCCCCGCTCGTCATTCTGACATTCATTCTCACGATACTAGAAACGCGAATAAATTCTCTCAAATAAGATGTCGTACTAAACTCTATAAAGATTATTTTCTATCTTCCTGTGTTGACTTATGGAATGCTCTTCCGGTCGACGTTAAACATAACCCATCACTCACTAACCTTAAGAAGTCCGTGAATGTCGACTATCATCACAATAATCGTGTTCCATCCTATTACTACTACTGCAAAAGTAGATTTGGCCAAATTCACCGCGCTCGACTGAGGATGAACTGTAGTTCCCTTAAAAATCACTTATTTTTACGTAATTTAGTTGAAAGTCCCATGTGTTCTTGTCACCGTTCTGCTGAAACTACTGAACACTTTCTCCTCTTTTGTCCTAACTTCGAACAATTAAGATTACAATGTTTTAGAAATCTTCCTCATGGGTATAATCTAAATCTGCTGCTGTATGGAAATCCTGATATGCCAGATCAATATAACTTAAATTTGTTTGACTCTGTCCAAAAATGTATCTGTAAGTCGAAACGATTTTAGTGCAAGATTTATTTATTTTATTTTATTTTTCTTCTTCTCGTTGTCTGTTATACTATCAAAATATATGTAACAGTGCCGTCCTACTGCCAGGTTTATTTATAAGGAGACGAATTAATATAAGTACTTATGTACTTGTTTTCGAATCCTCTTTGTTGATTTTGTATTATTTTGTCACTGCCATATATTGAATAAAATACTGTTTAA